AGAGAGAGAGAGAGAGAGAGAGAGAGAGAGAGAGAGAGAGAGAGAGAGAGAAGGGGGGGCGGGGCAAGGTCGAAAAAGGGGTAGGTGGATGTTGGGAGTACGTAGGGTCCAACCAAATCATCAAAGACCACCCTACAATGCTGGCCGACCTGCCACAGCGCCATTCAAAACGGTTTGCCCCTGGGTAGGCCCCACGACCACAAGAAAATATATAAATAATATATATTCATTTTTTTTATCCAACACCCTTGTCCCGTTGATTTCCTGTTCTAGAAGATGAACCACGGTCCTAATCGGCGCGGCGAACGTCTCTCTTCCCTCATCACCCTTCCAGGCCTTCCTAAATACCGACTTCCTTTAACGTATTTGTCCCCCAAGCTGGCCTCCGAATGCCATCACCATTCCATTAAAGATTTCCCTTTACTGCCCGCCCGCAGTTCCTGCTAATCTCTTGTATGCCCCTACCAGATCGGAGCGCAATTGCATTCAAGTTCCACAGAATCCACCACCACTTCTTCCCTCTTGATTCCCATCGAGATTCGATCATTCGAGAGCTCGCACACATCAACATCAAAGTCGAAACATCATGTTGACAAACAAATTACTAAATGATGTCAACGGCTCAAAGCAGCCGACGATGGAACCAAGTAGAGGCTGCTGCAGACGTGACCTAGAGAGTAATGGCTGTGTCCCGAGAGGTCCAACCCGGGCCCGTGGGCCCGTGGGGCTGTGCCACGCCCCGGTGCAGACAAGTTGTGCATATGTTGTATGTTGATTGATAACGCGGGAAATGATATTTTCTTGTATGCATTCGCGGAGATGGAGATGACGGTGATGACCCCCCGCCGTACTCTCGGGCCTCGCCCACTGTACCCTCAGGTCCTTTCTTTTTCCCCTTCAGAATCTTTTTGTCTGCGCAGATCAGCTGGCCATTGTGTCGAAAATTCTCGAAATTACATCCTTCAAAGTTCCTCCCTTTCTTGCCTTGATACCCAATGTGTCGGAATTACAGCCTTCTCTTTCTTCCCCCCTTCTTGCCTGGATACGGGGAGATGCCCGGAGATACTCCCCTCCCCCCCCCCCCCCAACTCCTTTTCCGTTCACCTCAAAGGCTCAAACAGCCTTTTTTTCCTTTCAGCCAGCTACGGAGCCACTCGATCGGGATCGGAATAGCCTCTGTACTATGCTTCATCACCAAGACACACTCTAAGTCTGTAACAAGTTCCCATGCTTTCCGAAACAAGGTAAAAAAAAAAACAGTTACTCCGAAAGTTTGGTTAAAAAAAAGGTAAAAAACGTCCGAAAGTTTGAAAACATCAAGGTAAAAAAAAACAGTTGCTCCGAAAATTTGAAAACAACATGGTAAAAAAAAAACAGTTACTCCGAAAGTTTGAAAAACAACCGAGGTAAAAAAAAAACAGTTACTCCGAAAGTTTGAAAAACAACCGAGGTAAAAAAAACAGTTACTCCGAAAGTTTGAAAAACAACGACTTGAAGAAAAACTCGGAAACTTTCAAAACAAACGAGGTAAAAAAAATTTCCGATTTTTTTTTCGCCACAACAAAAAAGTCACCGCTCCGCCGGCTACGCGACTAAGGGGCGAATCGATTGAAGAGTTCCTCTGCCTGATCGGGAAACAATTTCAAGAGCAAGTAGAGTGTAATGAGGACAGTCCCCAGAACAATGCTGATCTTCCCTTGAATGGCCGCGATCCCTGCTTTGCCGGCATCCTGTAACTCTCTCTCCCCTTCTTTCTCGAACAGCCCGGGCTTAACGGCCTGCAGGCCGCTTGTCAGACAGCTGACCTGCTGATAGCCAGCGTCCACGAGGTCCTCGGCAGCCTTTGCAGATCGAAGGCCCTCCTGGCAAACGACCAGAAGCTTACTGGTCTTGGGAAACCTCGCTTCGAGGGTTGGCAGGAAGCGGTCGTTGGGTTTGGTGAAGGCCGTCCCGTACAATGAGCCGGTCATCATGGAGTGCATCTGTCGCTTAACGATGGTCGCAGGGTCCATATCCCGGTTCTCAACGAAGAGAGGGACATGAACGCTGTCGCGCAAGTGCGACCGCTCGAACTGTGTGTTGTCGCGCACGTCGATCACAGTGTACCCTTCCTCGATAACCAGTGCCCTTGCCTCCTCGGGGGTGACGAAAGCAACGTCCGCCGCCGCCGCCGCCGGTACGTTATTTGCCGCGCAAACTCGGGGAGATGGACGTCGCACGTCAGTGACGAGCGCCGTTCTTCGTCGCCCACTAGTAGTGACACAGGTGTCACGCAGCGGCGCGGGTGGCAAAGGCGGAAGAAAACGCGCGCTCAGACTTCGGCTCCATTGCTCGGTCGCCCCCCCTCCGTTGACCGACGCTGTCGATAGCCGCGACGACGGCGTGCGGCTAGGATGCCGCACAACGCCGCTCCGCCGACAGCTGCTCTTGTTGCTGGTCCTCCCCCCGACGGCCGCCGCCGCCGCCGCCCAATGCTGTCTTCGCCGCCGTCGGATAGCAGGCAGACTTCCTATTGGGCTACTACATCGGATTGCGCCGGATTGAAGACACGAGATGTGGAACCGTGTCGGGCGCGCAAGCAAGCTTTCGCGGAGCCCGCCAGCACATCCGCGCGCGCAAGCAGTCGAAGCCATCTTCCTTCCCCGCGGCGCCACGCAAGCGGCTGAGCGGAAAGCCTTGGCGGGAGCGAAGATGCCACGGTTTTCTCCGCTCAGATGCCACGGCACGGCACACAGCACGCGCGGCACGGCGCGACACGGCACCGCACCGCACCGCACCGAACCGAGCGTCGGGGAACCCGGACGCTCACTGGCGGCTACAATAAAATATTTTCTTGTGTCGAAGCACCACTCTATGCTGCGCTCGACGCGAAATTGTTGTTGTCTAAATGATCCGATGGACCACGGATCAGATACGAAACGGATCGGAACAGATATACTAACACGTGATCTTAGCCAAAAGGCCGACAAAGGGATGGCGCGAAATTGCGAAAACCGGCCCGCTCCCGCCTCCCAAACGTCGTCGCCGACGGTAGGGCCTACTCTGTCTCAGGCCAAAATTGCATGAAAAATAAAATAAAAAACTGGACGTCCCAAATCCCAAACGTCGTCGTCGTCGTCGTCGTCGGGGTATCCCGTCCCGCCAAGGGTACCCCGAATTGACCCACGGAGTATCCCGTCCCGGGGCAAGGTCCCAGTTGCGCAAATTAGGAGATTTGGGCCGTTGATCTTTGCTATCTACGGTCAGTAATTCGTGCAAGTGGGACCTAGCCCCCGCCAAGGGTACCCCGAATTGACCCACAATTCCCTTTTGCACCATCACGAGGTGCACAAAATGCATGCTCAAGCTGTGAACGTCCAGGTTCATTTGCTTGTTAAAAAAAAAAAAAAGGTTCAAAAAAAAAGTAGTTTCGTTTCGATCACTCCGGGCAGACTGTGAGGACCCCGGCCTCAATCTTATTATTGGTAATTTCAGCCTTAAAAAAAAAATTCGATTAAAAAAAAAAAAAAAAAAAAAAAAAAAAAGAGGGCGGGCACAATGGGTTTGGAGGGAGCGGTGTGGCCAACCACACCCGTTCCCGTTAATTCCACCATTTCCAGTAGGACAGGTAACTGGGCTCCTGACCGCTCATGCAACCTACCGGTCGTTTCTCAAGCAACCTACCGGTAGTTTCTCGTGCGAACTACCAGGGATGACCATCAGCTCTTGCAACCCACGTCTAGTAACCTGATGCAACGTACCGGTCGTCCCTCATGCAACGTACGTTCTGGTCGCTTCGCATCGAACCGGCCGGTTGCTCTTCTTTTCTGTCCGGAAAGACCTGCTACGTGTTCCCTCGGCTCTTCACAGCTCATGCAGCCTACCGGTTGTTCCCTACGAAACCTACCCAGGTAATTCGTCATGCAACCTACCGGTAGTTCCTCTTTCTACTCCAAAACGACGCGCTAAGTGTTCCCTTCATTGTCCGGGGGCAAGGTCCCACTTGCACGGATTACGAGAGTCTGGCCGTTGATCTTTGCTATCTACGGTCAATATCTCTTAATTCGTGTAAGTGGGACCTAGCCCCCGGTCATTGTCCGGCTCATTGTACCGAAAGAGACAGCTGAGATGAACGCAAAAAAAGAGTAACCGGCCCCAAGATGCAGCCTACCGGTAGTTCGTCATGCAACCTACCGGTAGTTCCTCTGTCTAGTCCAAGACGACGTGCGAAGTGTTCCGGTCGTTGTACCGAGAGAGACAGCTGAGATGGAGAACGCACACAGTAACTGGCCCTAAGCCGGGAGGGGAGGGGAGGGGNGGGGGGGGAGAGGGGAGGAGAATGAATGGGCAACCGGGCCCAAAAGCCGAGAAGGTAGTTGGAGTTGCAGATACAGACAAGTAGTCAGCGTCGTGAACAAGGGTCACACACAAGTATGGCGTCGCCGCAAGGGACACGAAACGAAAAACGACACGAGTGCATCTTCCTGCATAAAATGGCCATGTCTATCGGCTTGCTATAAATAGTAACGAGGGTATTTTGCCACCTTTCGTGGGCAGATGCACTCGTTTCGTTTTCGTTTCGTGTGCCGTGCAGCGAGACCCGTAGACAAGTCATATATAGTCTCATCAAATCGTATATCAGTGGAAAAATTAGCACGATATTTTAAAAAAGAAGGAAAAAAAAAAAAAAAAAAGTGGATACAGGTTGGCGTCCCCAACGGCGAAAAGACCAGCCAAAGAACCTGCCTGCCCATCCCGGGGCTAGGTCCCACTTGCGCGAATTAAGAGAGAGAGACGGTAGATAGCCGAGAGAGATCAACGGCCGAAATCTCCTAATCCGTGCAAGTGGGAGCTTGTCCCCGAACAGGCTTGGAGGTACTGGTACTCACAAATGCAACACGTTTGCCTTTTCTTTTCGTGTTTTTTTTTCCCCTTTTTCTTTTCTTGAGACCAGCTTCTGTATCGGCTAAATACTCAAGGCATATCTTTTTTTCAGAGTCACAAAAACGAGTTATAATTGCACTATGGGGCAAGATACAGTTTGCAATTGCACTTCAGGCACCGTACCTGGCCAGAAAGGTGGGTTGTATACATTGCCCCAACTGCAATTCGAAACATTATCTTGGCCCATAGCGCAACTATAACTCATTTTGTGACTCCCACGTAGTTTCCCCCTTTTTTTTTCTTTTTTTTGCGGGAAAATATCTTGTTTTCGAATGTCCTTCCGTCTTCCCCCGAATAGAACGCTCGCTATCGCTGTACGTGGACCCGAAGTCGACCCGAGTACAGCTGTAATGACCTTGCGCGTTCTAATCGGGGGAAGACTGTAGGGCTGACCCAAAAAAAGGACGACTTGATTAGCCCTTCGCGAAAGCAAAAATCCCTCAAGACGTTGTTCTGCAAAAAGAAAAAGAAAAGGGAAAAAAAAAAAAAAACTCAACAGGTCACATGCACTTTATCAGGCTGTTGGCCACGTGGCACGTAACCAAGGCAAGTGATGAGCTCAGACAAGATTAGACAAGGAAAAACGAAAGTACGTGTTCTTTTCTTTTCTATATTATTATTATTATTATTATTATTATTATTATTATTATTATTATTTTGTGGACCAGTCTAATGAGTGATCAATTGCACATATTCGATTGGACTTGTGCGTGCTGTCCTGATTTGACGTGACTGGCTTTTCTTCTGCATCGTCCATGCATGCTCCATGCAGCTCTTGGACGTGAATGCATGCTGCATGCAGCTCCTGGACGTGAATGTATGCTGCATGCAGCTCTTTGACGTGAGTGAATATATGCTGCATGCAGCTCCTGAACGTGAGTGAATATCTGCTGCATGCACCCCCCCTGGACGTAAATGCATCATGCATGCATGCAACGGCATCAATCTACGAACTGACACCTGTTCGCCCCCACAGTCGAAGTTGTCTCCAGTGTCCCTCTGGACAGCCGTTAAAATTGGAACGATACAGTGAAGATTAGGATGGCCCCTGCGCAAGGATGACACGCATAAATCGAGAAATGGTCCGAATTAAAAAAAAAAAAAAAAAAAAAAGTTTCCCGTGTTTCTGATATCGTGTTTGCCCACTCGAAACACCGCTGACGTCATCAATTATCATAAATGACTCAGGCCGCTGAAACTCCGCAGGAGTCCTTGGGGACATCCGTCAACATTCGACGGAATCCGATGCAGAGCACATTTCTTTCTTTCCATTTGGTATCTGTAAAAGGTTTTTGGTATCTGTAAAAGGGACGCTGGACCCGGTTTCTAGCAGGTGATGCTCCCCACCGATAGATTGGAGCAAGCAGTTTGGGCTGCTAGTAGGGGGAGCTCATATCTCCTCCGCTAGCAGTGCCAACTGGTGTTTTTTCAGGAAAAAAAAAAAAAAGGACGCTGGACCCGGTTTCCACAGGTGATGCTCCACACCGATAGATAAAAGCCAGCGGTTGGGGTTGCTAGTGGGGGAAGCTCATATCACCTCCGCCGGCAGTGCCAATTTGGTGTTTTTTCAGGAACAAAAAAATAAAAAATTATTTCCTTTACCTGAAGCTCATGTAGAAGCACCCACCGCTGGATCTGTTATCTTAGCGGGAATTCTCGTAAAATTGGGAACTTATGTTTTTTTAAGATTTTTTTCTTTTATTCCGTGCCGTCGAAGAAAGCGCGAGGGCATGCTAATCTTGTCTTTATCAATTGGTCTTTTTATAGTTTCATTTTGTGTATAGGCAGAAGAGTTGCATGGCCCATGCACGAGCGTGAAACTCCGCACGCAGGAATACGTTCAGTGGTGCACGTGGGAAAAAATGGACTCGCAACATGCAGCTCAGGTGGCGCCGTGTCGCGCACCCTGCACGGGACAGCATGAGCTTAGAGTGGGGACGTTTTCACACCTGGACTTTCCTTCACATATCGGACAGCAATTGTAGGCAGATTCCTTTCAAAAACAGGTCTTAGTGTGAGTATGGTCTAACGAGATAGGTCTAAGAACACCACCACTCTTTCCACGCCTTTTTTTTTTTTTTTCCCGATGTTCAAAACCAGCGCAGAGCCGGGTTTAACAGTTTTGTAGCAGTCGAGGCAATCTCTGGGGTCAATACAGCTATAGTGAACATCCCAGGCCAATGAAGATTCCACTCCTGCGAATAATGTCAAAGGGGCGGCATCTAGACATGCAGAGGCGTAGGTGCGTGAGCCGCACCTGGACATCAACATGCCCAGATGCATTCTGACAGGGGGAGTGTTCGGACCTTAAAACCAGCAAGTATTCTTAGCCTCGTCGTCTTTTTCTCCCAAAAAGGAAGGCGATGCCCAAGCCCGAGAGGACGGAGGAAGGCGCGGGGGGGGGTGCGGAGCGGAGGGGGGAGAAAGTGGGATGTGGAGCAAGCTCAAGGAAAAAGAAGGCTCAGAGAAGGAAACCTGATTTCAGTAAATCGTTGACGACAACTTACTGTTGTTGCAAAAAATGGTCAATCACAAAAAAAAAAAAAAAAGGTCAATTGTACGACCTCCAAACGGCGAAACAGAAAAGAACAAAACAACTGAAGAAAAAAAAACAAGAAAAAAAAAAAAAAGGAGACAAAAGCCAGCGCCCGAATGCCCTCCTCCAAGTCAATATAGCTTAGTATTATTGGAAAAAGCAGTCTTTTTTTTTTTTTTTTTTTTTTTTTTGGCAGAGTCTTCATACATGTCAGCCTGGAGATGGTCGGCCATGGGAGAGAGAGGATATGACATAAATAGGACTTCTCCTCTCTACCCCTAGGAAACCTCCCAACCGACGAAAATGCCGGCAACGTCACTCCGGCGCCCATGCGTAAGTGGAAGACCGACAAAGGTCGCGGCTTTCATAAGCGTTTTTTTTTAATTATTAATATATTGAATTAAAATTAATGTATATCGACGTAGAATGACTGCACGCTTTTTTATTTCGGATTCGATTGATAAGTTTCTCCTTTTTTCTTTTTTTCCCCACTGTTGTGACATTGTGTGGATATAGGGGCGACGTTCATGTTCTAGTCTTTCTAGTTTTTCTAGTTTTTCTAATTTTTCGCTTTACTGAGAGGCTCGACGCAGTCCGATGGCTGTCAGTCGACCCCTCTGTCTGGAATCCCCCTCAGAAAAGGTCTTGCCAAACAAAAGCAAGTGCGATTAAAACGGAATTGCCATCGTCACCCGAATATACGCGTATATCTTTTTTTATTTTTTTTGCAGAACATATACGTGTTTATTATCAGTGTATATTAGTCTATATATGCATACGAATCGTCGTCAAAGAGAAGTGCCCGGTAAACCGCAGGCAGAGAGGGAGAAGGGGAGAACAAACGAGGGGCTGTGACAGATTGTTTCATCGGAGTTTCACCCACTCGTCAGGAGGCTCAACTCTCTCTCTCTCTCTGTGTGTGTGTGTATATATATATAGTCAGCCTCCTGATGAGTTGGTGAAACTCCGACGAAACAGTTTGTCACAGCCCCTCGTTTGTTGTCCTCTTCTCCCTCCCTCCCTCTCTGCCTACGGTTTACCGGCCAGCTCTGTTTGACGATATATATATACATATATATATATACACAAAATATAAAACATATATGGGTTCAGCCTCCCGACGAGTCCGAACAGTGTCACAGCTCCCCGTTTCTTGTTGTCTTCTTTTTTTCTGCCTGCTTTTCACAGGACTGTGCCAGCCTGAGGCTGTTTCGTTGGAGCTTCAACCATTCAACCGCTCATCAATCAGGAGGCTGAACCCTCTACAATCTGAAGAGTCCCCTAGCGGATGACACTGTGAGTGATCCACCTTAACCCCATCTGCAGGTTGGCAACAAACATTGTTGGGTCCCAACATTGTTCCCACAGATGGTTTCACCCTCCTGATGAGTCGGTGAAGTTCGACGAAACACTCCGTCACACCCCTTCCCCGTTCCTTGCCCTTTCCCCCTTTCCTACCTACGGTTGACTGGGCACTTTTTTATGAGTACACACACACACACACACACACACACACACACACACATGTACAGAGTTACATAGGTATATAACATATATAAAAAATACTACCCTAAAGGGCACATATGTCCTATCTATGTGCATTTGTATATACATACACACATACGTTTATGTATATATACGTATACATATATATATGTGTATATATATTTATATATGTTTGACGATATATATACAAAGATATTGTATAGCTTTACTTTAATTTTGTCGTAACGTCGACGTGACAATGTAGCGGTCACGACTTGTCGGATCAGCCCTCATCCAGGCGCCAAGTCCCACTTCCCGGAATCCTCACTCCTGGCCATCGAATGTCGTAAAGAAAGGAACACGGGAATGCGGTACCTCACCTAAGAGTGACTACATGCGCTGAATGCGGACCCTACCGTGGACCTCACCTAAGAGTGACCACATGCGCCGAATGCGGTATGTCGTTCGCAGACCCAGCAACAAATCTTTTTTTTTTTTTGGGGGGTGATGCACCGAATGCGGACCCTACCGTGGACCTCACCTCAGAGTGACTACATGCGCCGAATGCGGTATATGTCGTTCGCAGACCCGGCAACAATTTTTATTTCTATTTTATTTTATTTTATATTTTTTGCCGGGGGGGGGTTGGGTTGGGGGGGAAGCAACAAATCTTCACCATAGAAGCTGAATATTCTTTTTCCCAGCTCTTCCAATCTTGGCGTTCAAATTTATTTTCATATCAAAAAAATATAATACGACCACGGCTTTCGACTTCGGAATTCTGCCCCGCGCTTTTGGCCTCCCCTCAGCAGTTTTCTCCTCGGCTACACTTCCGTTTCCTCGCTCCGTCCTCCGCTACCTCCGCAGAGGGCGGGCACACGTCCTTCCGCGCCCCTACCTCGTTCTCCTCGATTTGTGCACCCACAGAGTTGGCGCGCTCAACACCTACTCACGCGTCGTTTCTACTTTCAAAGGGAAAAAAAAAAACAGAGACAACAGAGAAAGTAAGTAAGAAAGAGTAGACGCAGGAACATTGAGCGAAGTCATGGAGATTTATCGATTCACGGATGGATGGATGGATGGATGGATGGATGGATGGACGGATGGATGGATGGATGGATGGACGGATGGATGGATGGATGTTAACATAGCGAAAGGAATTGCTGAATTAGAGTGATAACAGTTTGTCATAGTGAATGAATGAGCGAAATGAATGGACACAAATTTTCAATCAACTTCCAGAAATGAATCTATCATGAATCGTTAAAAGTCTCCGAGCGACGACGTCGACGACGACGACGACGACGACGACGAAGAAGAAGAAGAAGAAGAATAGAATAGAATGGAATAGAAAGTAGCGAGGCCAATCGCTACCGTGCTTCAAGCAAGCAAAAATTGGCAAAAGTTATAAAACCTCCCCGCGACGAAACCTTTCTATTGATTTCCTTCCTTCGTTGAAATCTGATCAGAGATAAGAAAACTCACCAACCCGCACATTCCCCGACGCGTTTCGAACTTTCGACTAGCTGCGCTGCAGGACTTATCAAGGGGCACACCGCTCTCCCCCATCCACCTCCTCACAACTCTTCTTCTTCTTCTTCTTCGTGGTCGTCGTCGTCTGCTTCGTCTGCTTCTGTGCGCGTTTGCAGCTATGTCCGCGTCGTGATGAATGTTCTGTTTAATGTACGTGGACGAGTGGCGACTGGCCTCGCTACCTTTAAATTCAATTCAATTCAATTCAATTCTTCTTCTTCTTCTTCTTCTTCTTCTTCTTCTTCTTGTGTGCACGTTTCTACTGTGAGCTGTACATGCGGAAGAGTAGTGGTTATCTGTGGTTGCATGTGTGAGAAGCAGTCTATGGCCACTGTTTTCTTCTTCTTCTTCTTCTTCTTCTTCTTCTTCTTCTTCTTCTTTCTTCTTCTTCTTCTTGTGAGGATAAAAGAAGAAAATGAGGAAGAGGAAGGGAATAGGAGGTAGGAAACGATTGGCTAACACAAGAGTGGCTCCGATCTAAAAGCTTGCAAGGCAAAGCTGGTGGCTGGTGGCTGGTGGCTGGTGGCTGGTGGCTGGTGGCTGGTGGCTGGCGACTACCATAGCCACATCCTCTCCTCAACGCCACAAGAAGCGAGACGTATAGATATCACATTCTCATCTAGACCACGCGTGTGGTGGGTGTCGTTGCACTCCGCGTATGTCAATCTATTATTGGGGAATCCGTGAATCAACGGTGGCCGGGAATGTGAAACCCAAACCGGATCGATCCCCAGATTAAGGCTGGCTGTGATCATTCGCGGGATTACAGTAATTACCTTGAGTGACTGGTGGGCCTTGTTGATGGTTCGAGTCGACAAGCAAGCGTATTGCTGCGGCTGGGGCTGCAGCTGCTGAGATGACGAGCATGGCTGCGCAACGGCTGCCAAACTGGAGCCGCATGCCAGGGACGCGGACCTGGAGACTGCACCAGCCGCCATAGCCATGGTGAAGCGAAGAAGGAAACGAAGAAGACGGGAGGAGGGGAGGAGGGAGGGGAGGGAGGGCAGGGAGGGCAGGGGAAGGGAGGGCCCAAACAAACTCAACGGCGAGTTTGCTGCAGAGCTGGCGCGCAGACTCACCCTCTCTCCTTACCGACCACTCTCTCTATCTCCGTCTCGCTCTCTCTCTCCCTCTCTCTCTGTGTGTGTGTGTGTGTGTGTGTGTAGCGCTTTCCCGCCGTTTCTCGGCCGGAAACGGTTGATGGCACCAGGCAGCCAACCAGGCAATCGCGCCGGAGGGGTTGGGACGGGGGGCAGAGGTCAGACGCGAAGCGCGGCAAGGGAAGCGAGGACAGGACACAGGAGATGAGAGAGAGAGAGAGAGAGAGAGAGAGAGAGAGAGAGAGAGAGAGAGAGAGAGAGAGAGGTCCCACAGGCGAGCGCGGCAACCCCTCGTCCTTCCAAGTCCTACATTTTTTGTATGGCTCCGGTGCTGTGGCGCTGATTACGATTACAATCGATCGGCATCGGCGACGATCTACGCCTCTCCGCTACGGGCTGGGGGGCGCGCGCGCAATCTCTTCCCCGCACAGTCTCCGGCCCCACCCCTCCCGCCTTCACCTGGTACGAAATTCTATCCACCCACAAACAATCGAACGGCACCACAGACACACATATGAACGAGCTCGCGCGCGCGCGCGCGCGCTCGGTCGCTCAAACGGTAGCGCGATCCCTCGGTCTTTCAACACGGCAAACACTACGACCATTTCAGTCCATGAGTTCAGTTACAATAACAAACAATTAAAAACGAAACAAAACAACATAGAAAACCGAAAGTGGCGCCTTATGGTTTCTTCTTTTTCCACAATGCAAACATTTATTTCAACGGGTAAAACTGAGGCCGGGGGCAAGGTCCCACTTGCACGGATTACGAGATTCTGACCGTTGATCTGTGCTATCTACGGTCAGCATCTCTTAATTCGTGTAAGTGGGACCTAGCCCCCGGAGTTATACTGGCAGCGTCAGCCAGTTTAGCTTATGAGTGGCCAAGTACCACTGTAAATTCACAACAGCTCAAAATCCCAGGAACGGAGCTCCTCATCTTTTTCATATATATTCTGCCATGTCATGGAACATATCTCTGTCATCTTTTTTTTTTCCCCCTTCATCTTTCACTGCCTACCTACCAGTACTCCTAAGGCTATACAGGGGACTCCTGGAGCCAACCCCACTTACACCGTTGAGTAGAACAAGCTCCAGCATAGCTATCCACCTGTTAGCGAGAACTTCGCGGGCAGAAAAAAAAAAAAGAAAAAAAAAAACTTTGCAGGCTAAGGGCCTCCCCACACAACTTTCGAAATGTGAAAAAGACAAAAGTGTGGTGGGTGCATCAGGTCATGTTCTAGGGGGAAGTTCATTCTCATTTTGCACATTTGGAAAGTGGTGTGGCGCTGCCACAACTCCTCAGTGCGACACAAAGCAAACCCAAACCTCCTCAGTGCGACACTAAGCAAACCCAAACCCCCACACACTGCCTGGCTCCATTGCACGGTCTTGTAAAAGTATGTGGACGTAATCTGGTCCTGACACATTCCACATGTTCACATACACATATATAGAATTACACAGGTCTGTTCCAAATAAAATAGGAAAATGATGATCCGTAGATGATGCCAGATCGCACAGAAGTGAGTCAGAAAGGTGGGCCGCAGGCTGCACACCACGGGTGAATCGAGGAGGGGGGGGACCGCTTCACCAAAGTCAAGGCGAGAGAAAAGGACTCGACCTCTGAGGGACCTGACCACTGTGTGGCATGCTGTGACAAACCGATTTCTGTTCCGCGCGATTTTCTGCGAGGTAGCAACGAAGGGTCCTAAGCTGGGAAGGATGGGCCAATTACGGGAGATCGGGATTGGAGGGAAATTGCATCGGAGTCCTCGCTTGTTCATCTCTTTTTTTCGGATGGCTGGGCTCAGGGCAGGGCAAGTCCCGGGGATGATTGATGGACGATGCGCCGCCGTTGAGCGCGCAAATAATACTGGTTGACGTCATTCTTTTTCATTTTTGCTTCGTTCTTTTTTTCTTTTCTTTTCTTTTTGAATCTTGTCGAGCCCCGATGGCTCTCGGAATTTCGGACTTTCTTTTTGGAATTTGTGCTTTTCGCTTTTCTGCAGGAATTTAGGAATTTTGGAATTTAGGATCTTCCTTTGCCGTGCAGCGCTTTTTGCTTACGCGCTTCTTTGTGCGGCTGCAACGGAACTCTGATTAGTCGGCGCCCTTAATCGTGTGCGTAACTGTAATTTTGGGCGGGTGTGACGCGCAACCTCACGCCCTGTGCTGTCTTTCGTTCGGAGTGCAAGAAGGCCCAGAAAAACAGCAAGATGGGGTGTGCCAAGGATATTTGGAAAAATGAGTGTGGGGACACAGACAGAACTGAAATCCCTCGTGTTGGCCTGATGAAGTAAGTCGGTTGCTTTCGCGCGTCGCGGAACGCGCGCGCGGGCACGGCGCGAAGAGAGAAAAATCCAAATTCAATCCAAAAAGTATTGTCGAACTTCCCACCGCGCTGTGGATCTTCGTTTAGAGCGGAAGGGCTTCGGTACACTCCGCGTGTCTCGTTTCCGTATCAAATCCCGACGTCGCTCGTTGGTCAGTTCAGAGTCCGACGTGGAGGGTCTCAGCCACGTGGCTCTTTCCTTGTGCTCGTCTTCACTCCGTATCCAGTAGTGGAAACCCTTCGATTCGTAGTGATCGAAACGCTGGCACTCCGTGCACAGGGTTCGAGGCCAATGGGGCGCCACTGCTGTCCACGGAATGACGATCAACTCGTTAAATGGTTATAGTACTGAGTAAGGCGGGTAGTGCGTATCGACAATGACAAAGCCCGCATCCACGAATCCAGAACAACGATTTTCGGGAGGGAAGTAATATCGTCCGCCGATCCGTGCGACAACTTATCGTATGTCCCACTCGCAAACACGTGTCCTTTCCTCGTTGTAAGGGAAGGGGCGCGTTGGCGAGGGAGATACGGGAGGCTGGCGCCCGATCGAGGTACGACCGTCAATCCACATATCAATCAGTTAAAATGAGTTTGCAAGAACCCGTAGACGTTATCAAAAATACAATCGAAAAAGAGCTAACTAGTATTTTCCTTTCCGTTGACACGGGGGAAGCATGTTACAGAAGTCGTGCAACCATGTGATAATCGGGCGAAGTTTCGAGAGATCAACCCGCGACTCAGTTTCAGCAGACCGGATCGACAAAGATGCAAGGCGCCTGACTTTTTCGAGGTTGCCCCATAGATTGCCTGCAGATGTCGTGCAGTCTAAGGCAGATGGCATGCGCAGTGCATTCAGAACGACGGATTTAAAACACTCTTGCATTCTCGAACAAAATCCCATCGAGATCAGGGTCTAATCAACGCAAAAATTCACATACAAACATTTTCATGCATACATCCACTGTGGAAGGTGCGAAAATGACAATGATGCATCAAAAACAAAACGGGGGATAGTACATACGCATCCACCGTTCACAAGACAAAAGGATTGAGCTCCCTTACATCCAGGGATTACCCAGTCAACTAATGGAAGAGTTCCGGAAGAAGTTCTTCTTCGTAGGAAACCACAGGGGTTCACTTCGGTTCTTAGGAGAGACAAACTCGTAACACATCGTCATTCAAATAGGAGAGAGAGAGAGAGAGAGAGAGAGAGAGAGAGAGAGAGAGAGAGAGAGAGAGAGAGAGAGAGAGAGAGAGAGAGAGAGAGGGGAGAAATAGACGAGAAATGTCGAGACAGGAGACACCAGAATCCGACAAAGGAATATTCGACTTTGCAGCCATGAACTCACACCAAAGAAAATGATCCGCAACAATGAAGGCGCAAGGGCCGTGAACTTTCAGTATGGCTCCGGGCCAATCATCCACTCCACTCTAATTATCAATCCTCATACCGACACCGACAAGCCCGGCCGTCGCGTGCTAACTTCCGCCGCTGCGATCGTCACCCCACTGACGCAAGCTCGACACGGCTCGCCCGGATCCCACAGTCCATCGTGGCGATCAAGCGCGCAACCGGCCAGTGTACAGTCAGCCCGACAGGACTTTTCGACTCGCACCCAACGCATCACCTAGCCACTGCTTCTCAGAAGATGGCTTGCGAGTGGAAAACGCAAGAGAGATTTGCGGGCGCGCTTGCGGAATTTATAGTTGCGAAAAAGAAGACAGACGGGGGAGAAGACAGAGGGGAAATCGATGTGTACGAGGAGAAGATTCAGCGAGGGGTGCTCAAGGGAAACCATGTTGATGCTTCGAAACTCAATGTTCAACCAATCAGATTCGTCGCGCAACAGGAAGATCCTCGTGTTCAACGCGTCTGATTGGTGAACGAGGGTAATCGGAGGATTAGCCGGGCTTCGTGAGCCAAGGTTGAAGAGCGAGAAGGAAAGAGGCGCGAAAAGCAGCGCGAGACGGGTCCAAGATTCAGATGATCAAGAAAGGCAGCAAGCGCGCAAAAAGCAGAGAAACATTTGCAATAGGAGAAGAAGAGGAAGGAGAAGGGAGAAAGAAGAGAGCGTGGCGGAAGAATGACGCGGGAAGTAAGGAGGGGGAAACTTGCATGCGCGACACCGACAGCAAGAGAAAAAGGCACCAAAACAGTTACAGCTTGCCTATGTCCTAAACCAATTAAAAAAAAATTGAAATCACCATATCCGCACGCGAAAGTCGACGCGGGCAAAGAAAGTCCTATGCCTATCCGTATTCTCACAAAATTCCTAGAGTTTTATCCACCGTGACCGAGAACATTCATGGAAAGAAAAAGACACGTCGGGTTCCGTTTATTCCGAAATTCCTAACTGTCGAGCCCGATTCCTAGTGCGCTTGCTAGGGCGCACGTAATTTCCCATGCATTTCCCGAATTACAAAAAACAGAATTCCAAGAATCAATGGAACCTCTGAAAATTGGGGGCCTAAACAAGGCACCTGAAATCAAGAAAAAGTGACGGGGGCTTTATTGGGTTGGTATGATAAAAAAAAAGGGGGGTTGAGTCAAGGGGTACGAAAGATAGCACGGGGTCGGGAAGTGGTTCGTCACACGGGGGTCATTGTAACTTTATCTTTCTTCTTGAACTTCGTCTTTCCCGCTCTTGCTTTTTCTCTTGTTGTGTCTAGCTAGCCCGCGGACTGCATGTTGGGATCGATGCGTGGAGAGAGGCTACGTCCCCCACGCCACGATCTGGCTATGCAGCACGTAGGCGCTCCCTCTCCTGATCTCTTTCCTAAGTCTTTGTAATTCCGTGTTTCTCGCGCATGGATGCACGCTATAAATTTCGGCTGCATGATTAGATAGCTCTCTTAACCAGCTGTTGGAAGGTCGGGGTAGCGCGATCAGTGAGGGTCGGCTTACGAGCGAAGTAAGAGGTGAGTTGAAATGGGAGTCGGGCGACCCGACGAGATGGTGCCAAGCGCGCGGGGTTGACGCGGGCCACAACGGACTGTGGGCA